ACAATCATAGGCTGAACGACAACAAGTGGACCCATTGCTTTTATTCAAGGGCCCCTGTCTGACAAGTGCAGTTTCTCCTTTCATGATCATTTATATTATCTCCCTCCTTCCTCCCAAGCATAGGGCTCAGTGTGCCTCTCATTAATACTGAATGAAAAACATAATTAAAATGCAAAATAAGATTGAATATTAATATAGAATAAAAGTAAAGGCAAAATTTAAAAAATTCTAAGCAAAATTTAGGAGTGAAAGAGAATTAGACAGTTGCCACAAGCATGCATGAATAAAATAATTTTACATGGCAATAAAAAGAACAGTGAGGAAGCCAACTTAGCCTCCCTCAGTAAGTGATTTCAGTGTATCAGTGAAAAGGCCCTTCTCTTATATCACAAATGGGTGTCTCCAAGGGTACATCCATATTGTAGAATTAATGTGGTTTGACAACATTTTAACTATCATGTTTCAATGCTATGGAATCTTGGGATCTTCGGCTCTAGGTTATTGGATATGTTTTTTTTGTGGGTGAGCAGATGGCAATTACTGGATAGCATATGTTCTGTATCAGAAACTAGAGCTGATGTGGTCTATCCAATGCAGTTTTCTGAATCTGCAACCAAAATAACCAAACCGAATCAAAAGTTAACAAAAAACAGATTTGTAACCCCTTTGATACTCATGTTGGAGAGTTATCCCTAGTCAAAGTGGTCCTTGGTCAAAGTGGTCCCTGGTCAAGTGGTCCCTGGTCATGAAAAAGGTTGGGAATCACTGCTTTAAATCAAGGTTATCCCAAGTGGATATCCTTAACTGAGCAGGGATTCAAATCTGGGATTCCCAGAATCCAAATCTGGAAATTTTAGACTACTATACTATTCTGGCTGTCAGCTATAGCATACTAGTTTTACTGATGACTGACAGAAATAGTATAATCTCAGTAAACCCATATCCATCAATCCATGTCCTGTCACATCTTATATAGGAAAAGCCATTGTTGCAAGCAGACTCTTAAAATTCCAAAATGATAATAAAGAGATGAAGACAATATAAAAAGGTTAAACAGATGGATTTTAATTATGACTCCTAAGGAACAAATAAGCATTGGAGGAAACAGAGGAAGAGAGCCACTATATGCAGAGTATATTAACTGTCATGGTTCCACGCTGATTAAAACAGTACTTGTCGTATTTATACATCATTGTACTGTAGCGGCAACCAATGTTCCTTGTAATACATTTCCGAGCACAAAAATTGCTTCAGAAAAAAAAGCAGCATTTGGACAAGCAATTCTGTTGAAACCAATGAAGTGGTTCACATACACATTTTCCAAAGCGAGTTTGTTTAAGGTGAGCCTATTTTAAGCTATTAAAGTGTGGAATTTAAGGCCAAAAAGAAAAATGAGGAAAAACCAGTGACTGCTTGGTATAGTGACTTAGAGAACATTGCAGCAGTATGTTCAGCAAGAAACCCTTCATTAATCCTTTCCTGTAATTCTACCCTATTCACCTTCTCCCTTGCCTGGCTCAATAGAATGTAAAACCTGCTGTCAGTGCAGTAACTAACCCAGAACCCATTCATTACTCAGTCAAGGCATTTGTAACATTTGCTGATTTATCCATGAATAGAAACACAGTGTAGAGAGCAGCACTGAGGCAGGTTTCCTCCCCCCGCCGCATCCTTTCCCCTTCCCCGCTCTGGTATTACTGCAGTTTGTGTGTTGGAAATCATCAAGGGCTTTGATACATTCAGCATCATGAATAGTGCTGGCATTTCATTCCATCTAACCCAAGACGTGGGAGGGGCGAGGGGGATGTTTGCAGCTGAGCAAAATTGTTCATTGCTTATTAAAAGCTGCTTATTCATAGGAAAGTGGGCCAGTGGCCGCCAGTGTAAACCTCCAGAGCCAAAAGCTTCTGTTCACTGTAAACGGAAAAAGCAGGCGCACAACCTGAATCCCAAACAGGCCTTCATGTGTGGGGGAATCAAGCATGTCTAATGATGGACCTGGGAGGATTGGTTCACTGAGTGGCTTGACTGTTGCTAGAAAGCTAAAGAGGCCATTTTACAGGATATATGCAGAGCCACAGTCAATGTAAATAGATGTTCTCTTGCCAAACCATTTTGGTAGAATCTAGCTGAAGCCACCATAAATTAGCCATTGTTTAGTTCCCTGGATTTAAGTAGCTATATTTAGCCTGCCGCTCTCACCTTCTCTTTTACCTAGGGATAAGCCCAATGAACAGAATGGGTTTGTTTATTTATTTATTCAGTACATTATTGTTGTTTTTGATGTTGTCATTGTTATTTGATACACAAAAAAATAGTTTAGAGCTCAAAATGGCCAAGGACCTTTATATCTTAGGGACCGCCTCATTCCTTTTCCCCATCAGTGGTCACCTCGATCCACCCAGGAAAATCTCCTATACATACCGGGCCCTAGGCAGGCACATTTGGAAGCTACAAGGTGTAGAGCTTTTTCGATCTATGCTCCAATTCTGTGGAACTCATTGCCTCCATATATTAGAGCAATGCCGGAGTTGCGACCTTTTGTAAAGGCGCTCAAGACTTGGCTGTTTGGTTGTGCATTTAAGTAATCGGATCAAATTTTGCCATAGTCACTGCTGAATGTTTTTATGTTGAATGTTTTTATGTTGAATGTTTTTATGTTGAATGTTTTATATTGTGTATAAGCTATTTTAAATTGTAAGTCGCTCGGAGCACTTTGGTGGAGAGCGACTAATTAAGAAATAAAGTGATGATGATGATGATGAAAAAAATAGTACACAGCAAGCAAGATCACTATGCTAGCATTTGTATTTGATCACACATCAGACACTGCCCAAGTGTCTAGGACTGTATGATATTTCGGGGAATAATGCATGCAGATCCGAATAGGGAAGCCTTTTGCAGCTGACAGATGGTAATTTTGTCTGCCCTGGTTGTTTTTAAGTGCAGGCCAAAGTCTTTAGGCACTGCACCCAGTGTGCTGCTCACCACTGGGACCACCTTTACTGGCTTGTGCCAGAGTCTTTACAGTTCTATCTTTAAATCCTCATATCGTGTGAGCTTTTCCTGCTGCTTCCTGTCAATTTTGCTGTCACCTAGGATTGCATGATCGTGAAGTCAGGGTTATTGTGAGATCAGGAGTATTATTATTATTATTATTATTATTATTATTATTATTATTATTATTGCCTGTTTTCCTCTCTTAAAAGAGACTCAAATTGGCTATTGTTGTGTGCCTTCAAGTTGTTCCTGACCTATGGCAGCCCTAAGGTGACTATATCGCAAGGTTTGTACAGAAGAGTTTTCCCATTGACTTCCTCTGAAATTGAGAGAGTGTGACTTACCCAAAGTCACCCACTTGGTTTCAGTGGCTAAGAGGGGGTTCAAACCCTGGACTCCAGAGTCATAGTCTAGAATTCAAATTACTACACCACACTGTACACCATATTCATGTTCTGTTCTCTATTACAAGATGTACAAATAAAACCAGTTTTAAACAATTCAGAACAATGTATTTTATAGATAAAAAGATTAAACAAAAGAATTCATGTAAACATCTAAAACCCAACCGGTATTCAAATGTGGGCATATTTGTGTAAAATTTGGTGCAGTAAATGAAAATGCATTCTACATATCAGATGTTTACATTATGATTCACAACAGTTACAAAATTACAGTTATGAAGGAGCAACAAAAATAATTGTGTGGTTGGGGGTCACCACAACATGAGGAACTGTATTAAGGGGGTTGTGGCATTAGGTAGGTTGAGAACCACTGCCTTAGCGGCAGATAACAGCATGTGCTGAATTTTTCCCTGCTCTTCAGAGAATCTGGAGCCCTCAAAACTGTACCTTTCCAGCTGGCTTACAGAAGAAATGAATTTGGATAAATTGGCCAATTAATTGTTGAAGGTTTTCTGTTTTATTTTGTATTGCATTTTTACCTGTAGCAAAAGAGAAACATCATTCCATCTAATTAGCTCTGCCAAATGTCTTTTTAAAAGTCATCTCCCTTGCAGTTCAGGATCTCATGTTGATCCAGTTGACATGGCTTGAATCTCTTTGACCTGCTACTGCTGTAGTAATCCTTTGATCTGGGCCTGTTTGCAATTTGACCCATTCGGATTACTTCCCTGGAATAGCTGAGCAAGACAAAAGCCAAATCAGCTCCATTTATCTTAATGGGCTCTTCCCCCCTTCCCTTGTATCCCAGATATGAAGCCTTGCCAATCTTTTGTAGAGAAGAAAAAGGAATCTGTATATCTGATGGGCTTTGAACTACCATCTGGTGGTGTTTAATGTTTTTTGTGCTCTGTTCTCATGGTGGTGTGCTGAATCATAACTTAGAAGTTCAATAGCCATTCAGTCACACAGCCTCAATTCAATATGACTGTGTCATTATCAAAGCCTTGTTTACAAAATGCTGCCATGCAAACAAAGCAGATTTTAGAGACAGTTCTCCCTGAGGCAGAGTCCGCTGACTGAGAGGCATTCTTCCAGTGTGAAGTCTGTTTGTCTTACATCTTTGACTGCCTTTTGGGCACACAGCAGTGCTGTGTTTAACCTCTAAAATTACTGCCTGTGACAAGTAATTGTAGGTGTTAAAGCCAATGTAAAGGGAGTTTAATTAGGGGCAGATGAAGCACATGGAATTCCATGGTCTTGGGAACCATGTCATTGGAAAGAAGTTTGCAAAACTGGAATCTATAAACTGTTTACCACCTCAGCCATTCAAAGCTCTCTCAAGCATGTTATGCAGCCCTGTCGTATGCACATGTATATAACAGAAAGGCACACTAGCTTCTGGGTGTTTTTAAAAGTTGTGCACTGTTTTCTTTCTTGTTTGCTAGAATAACTAGTTGAACAACACCCCCCCCCCCCCAAATAGGCATGTATTTCTCATGCAATGCTGTTTTGCTTAGGAAAATTTTCAAATCTTTTAACTTTTCTAAAACATTTTCTTCTATTTTCTCTATTTTGTCTTCTTTATTCCCACCTCAGGTATTAACAAGCTGGTCAGAAACACGAGAAGCTCTGTGATGTAGTGGTTTGAGAATAGGACTCTAGAGAGCATGGTTCTAAGAAAGCTCCCCATAAACAAAAATTACAAAGGAAACCCCATTGTGGATTCTCCTTATGACTTGAAGGAAGATAACAACAACAGGAACATGATATGTTCATGTCAGAATTATATGGCCACCAGTGTATATGTCGCCTGGGTATGCATTTTCCAAAGCTGTTTATTAGAAACACTCATTGTTACCACCCTTATCGCTGGGTTGCTGTGAGTTTTCTGGGTTGCATGGCCATGTTCCAGAAGCATTCTCTCCTGATGTTTCGCCCATATGTATGGCAGGCCTCCTCACAGGTTGCAAGGTATATTGTAAACTAAGCAAGGGAGGTTTATATATCTGTGGAAGGTCCAGGGTCGGAAAAAGAACTCTTTTCTGTTCGAGGCAAGTGTGAATGATGCATTTAATCACTTTGATAAACATTGCAAATCCTTACACCTGGAAGAATCCTTTGTTGGGAGGTGTTTGCTGGCCCTGATTGTTTCATGTCTGGAATTCCCCTGTTTTCAGAGTGTTGTTCTTTATTTACTTTCCTGATTTTAGATAGTAAAATTGGAACAGTAATTTTCTCTGTTTGTGTGTGGATATACTTACACACACACATGCTTTGTCACGCCCACAACCTTTTGGACATTTTCCTATATCTATAAACATAAACAGACATACAACCTAATGTGTCAACTCATCAGCAAAGTCCACCCAGGATGGTTTAGAGATCCAAAGCAGGGCTATGGACAGCTTGGCAAAAATGGTTTGAATATAGCAATAGTCATGAAATAACAAGCTATCCCCAAATGCATTTTTGGTCTTTATGGCTGATATACTTCAGTGAACAAAGCTATTTGAGTAAACAATCTATCCTTATTTTGTGTATGGAGAGAAGATCTGCCTTTGATTGTTGTTTCTATAAACTGGCTGGCTGCCAGGATTCTCTGGGAAGAGAAACAACGCATTAACGATAGAACTGTGAATATAGCTCTTGTTGGAGTTTTCAGCTAAATTTAACCTTCACGTGTCCTCCCCCAGCTCCTGATAAAAGGTATCTCTGCTAGTGTTTTCTTAAGCTGCCTGGAAAGAATTTCTGATACACTGAATGGGAGCCTTTTAAAATTCTTCTTGGAGCATCCAGTGTCAGTAGGTTTTGACTGATGAGTTTATCTATTGAAAAGCTTCAGTTTACATTATCTATCAAAATGCATCCATCAACTTGCTGGCACCAGGATTTATGGTGAAGGAAAACTAGCTATTGTGATTGAATTCTATCAGATAAGCACATTCATGCAAACAAAGGGAAAGGATCTGTTACTATATGGACTGTTTTATTTAATGATGTGCACCTAAATACCTCAAAGGCACCAGATACTGTCTGGTCTTGGTTGCTATGTATTACTCAGTCCCAGGTAATACTTGAATAGGGGACTGGTAAATCTGTATGCTAAACTAGCAAAAATACTCCTGAGTATTTCTTGCCTAAGGAAAACCTATAAAATTCATGGTGTTACCATAAGTCAATTGGCAATGCAAAGGAATACACACACACACACACATTACTCATGCGGAACTTTTATAAAACTGAGGGTGGGATTGAGAAAACTTCTCCTCCCACTATACAGAATTAGTGATTGCCTGTTACATTTATCCCCTCAAAAATAGCAACTCATCAATAAATAGATAGCATTCAAGTCATTTTATCAATAATGCCCCACAATCTCTCAGCATTTAGCAAAATTTACCCATGCTAGATCTGATAAGAGTCAGATGGATATTTTTAATCTATATAGACAAGTTATAATTGCTGAGAGCTTTGTTAGAGAATTCCACATGTTTTTTGCACAAAAAGATCACTTTCCTCCATCTGGCAAGCTGGAAATCTGTATGTAAAATTCAGAATAGCAACATATGGTGTTCACCAGCCTTCCCCATTCCACCCCCACCCGCATATGCATATATGCACATTTCTTCCACTGGTTTTGATATTATAATATAGATATAGGAAATAAAACTTTGGGACCTCACCCTTCCCCCATTTTCTGTCACATGATGTCCATTATAGATTGTAAGCCTGAGGGAAAATTAACATTTTGTAAGCTGTAAGTTGCTCTGTGCCTCTGTGGCTGAAGAGCAGGGTAAAATTATTCTAAATAAATAAATACATAAATAAAATTATGTCCACGAGGGATTGGGGAGAGGGAGGCAAAGCTGGATTTTCATTCAAACTAGGTAAATGAAGTCCTATTTTATGTGGACACATTTGAATATGTATTCCTAATTGGGGTTGGTTGAACTCAAGCAACAGCTGTGTGCACCAAAGAACTACATATATGGCTAGCAAAAACCACACTAAGCTCCTCTACACTAAACTAACGCAACATTGCTAAAACACTAAGGACAACTCAACTAAAACCTAACTAACCATCTCATTAGATGGGGCTTGGTAAGTGTCCTAGAATGCTTTTTCATTGCCCATCCTACGACATTGCTGGGCTTCCAGCTGAACCCCATCCACAAGTGGAGTGGAAGCTTTGTACAATGTTTCCCTCCCAACATGGGATCTACCCATAATGTGTTGGCTTCCAATAAAGCCAGCATGGATCCTCATCATTTAGGTGATACTTCCCACATATGACAGTACTGTATTTATGCTCGAAGTGATTTTTTGTCTACAATAAGCAACCTGTTATAATAAATGTGAAAGACCTTAAAGTGTTACAAAACCCCTGGCTATTTCTCCTGTAGTAGACAACATGACTACTCTTCTGAAAATCCTCAAAACAGAAGGCAACTCAGAACCTGCAAAACACTTTCTTAAGAAACTGTTCCTTGCTGAGCATTCAGCAAACCTATGTCCTGCAGATTCCCAAATAATTTACTCCTTATTTTTTTCCTGTGAACTAGAAGACCCATCAGTACTCTGGAGGAAGTTGGATGGATGACTCCTAGAAATGTGCTGCAGGTGGCAAAGCAGCACCGTAGGTGTTTTGTTGAAAAGGGATTGGTATCGATTTCATTTGACAGATACGCAGGTCCTTTATAAAAAGACTATCATGCTATAAAATATAGTTCAACAGTGAGATCAATAACTTATCAGTAGTGAAACCAAGCTTGATGTCCTTTTCTAAGTTATAAAACATACAATGTAACCTTGAAAACTTCTCATGTTAATGACAGTTCACTTCTTACATTGGGACACCACAAATATGGACATATAAGGAACATATTGCCATGATACCTTACAATAAATCTAAATGAAACAAAATAAAAATATACTAAGGTATGCATGAATTTTTGTTCAGAAACAAAAGTTCATGTCAGATGATATTTCAAATGACTGATAACTGTCAGACAACATCAAGGAAATTTGGGATGTACATTCCCTCTCATTTTCCAGGAAAACCTGAGAACCGTATTCAATCAGGATCTCCAAGAAATTACTTTCATCAAAATGTTAATGAAACTAAGAAATAAGCTGACAAGAAAGGCAGTCCATGCTGCCTGTAGCTTAAATCAAGAGTGGGACTCATATGGCTCTACACATGTTGCTGGCTATGTGGCTAGAGCTGATTAGGATTGTAGTCTCATAATTTCCAGGGGACTACACAATTCTAAATTCTAAATCCAAAACAAACTCTCATTCAGTAGTTGAGTAGTAAATTAATACTGATATAATTTGCCTTAATTAAATGGGTTCAACATTGATGAGATTCAGCTGAATTTAGACCTGGATCACTGCTGTAAACCCGTATTGTATACATTTATAGGACTTGTAAAGGGTGTGTGACTTATCTCTTTTCCCAACCTGTTGTTCCCACTAGACATTTAATATGTGTCCTTTTTTTAACCCATCCATCCAAATTCTCAGAGTAGATTCTGCCAATGGCAATAAAATAGGGTAGGCAAAACCACAATGATGTTGACATAGCTGGTTGCATGACTGACAGAGAATGAGGAGTCTTTGAGCAAGAGAACTTCAAGATAATAGTTTTGAGGTGTGAGGACAAGAATATCAGTCCCCCATTTTGGAGTAATTGTTGTGTCGAAAGTTGCTTTATACCAGCTGTGCTTTGTGCTTTAATGTAAAGCAATTTGGGTAACTGCATCTGTGAAGATCCAATGTGTGTGTTTCTTTTTCTATATTATTTTCCAGGCCATCTAAGCATGACAACTAAATATAGACAAGAACGAATTTTCCGCACATAATCTCAGAACTAGAAAAAAGTAGATCTGGTGCTTGGATAGTGTTTTATGTGCAGACAAAGGGAGACGCTGGTCCAATATAATAGATATGGCATTGCTTCTCCCAAGGCAAAAGCCATCCTCCACCAGCCTAATTCTGCCTTCCTCATTATGTATAACCAGAGATGAAACAGAATCAACACTCATGGGAGTTGAAATTTCAGGACTTTTTAATTTGTAGGCATTATGACACAGTTTGCCACCATAACTTCAGTAGACACCCCTGTTAAACTTTTGAATTTTCAGAGCAGCTGGAAGAGAAACAGATTTTTGAAACATCTGTATTGTCAAAGGCTTTCCCCATTGAGATGTTCCATTAAAGCCCTGGCAGACCATGCAAAAAGAATCTGCGAATCCCACCTCCTCCAAGACAAAATGAACCACCTAAACTGGGCTTTACAGGCCAATGGATACTCCACCTCAGACATCGGAAAAGCTACAAGACTAAGAAAAAGCCACAAGAATAAAGTCAAAGATCCACCCAGAGGAAAAGTGTTCTTGCCATACATCAAGGGAACCACTGACCGCATAGGGAAGCTGATGAGGAAATGCAACATACAAACTATCTACAAACCCGCTAAGAAAATCCAACAACGGCTATGTCCAGCAAAGGACAAGAAGGATTCTCTCACCTCTGCAGGAGTCTACCGCAACTGTGGACAAGTCTACATAGGGACCACCAAATGCAGCGCCCAATCATGAATGAAGGAACATGAGAGGCACTACAGATTACTTCAACCAGAGAAGTCAGCCATAGCAGAGCACCTGATGAACCAAGCTGGACACAGCATATTATTTGAGAACACAGAAATGCTGGACCATTCTAACAACTACCGTGTCAGGCTACACAGAGAAGCCATTGAAATCCACAAGCATGTGAACAATTTCAACAGAAAGGAAGAAACCATGAAAATAAGCAAAATCTGGCTGCCAGTATTAAAAAATTCTAAAATTATAACAGTAAATAAAGAACAAAACTCAAACACATGGGAATTCTAAACAAGAAACAACCAGGAACACCTAATCACTTCTCAACAAAGGATTTCCCCCCAGGCAGTAACAAACCACACCTAAAACTGTCAGGCCATCATACGCTAATCAAGGTAGCCAATTGAAACATTCACACCTAGCTCCAACAGACAAGAGTTCTTTCTCCCACCCTGGACTTTCCACAGATATATAAACCCAATTTTCCTAGGTTGTTGTAGGTTTTTTTTTTTTGGGTTATATGGCCATGTTTTAGAGGCATTCTCTCCTGACGTTTTGCCTGCATCTATGGCAAGCATCCTCAGAGGTAGTAAAGCCATGAAAGCCTCACAACCTCTGAGGATGCCTGCCATAGGTGTAGGTGAAACATCAGGAGAGAATGCTTCTAGAACATCGCCATACAGCCCAAAAAACCTACAACAACCTGGTTTCAAAACAGCAGTCATTTATTATATGCTACCCAGGTTGTAACCCAAAGTAAACATGTTTGTATATTATTTTGTGATCTGCCTCATTTCTCATGCTGAGAAAAAGATAGGAAAAATGAAATTAATTAATAAAAAATCAAGTTTTTTCTTGCTTTGGTCTTGAATAATTGAGACCCATTAATTTTTATAACGAGACTGCTTCTAGTGGGAGTGACAATTGCTTGAATTGTTTGTTTTGGGTGGATGTTTTTCATAGATCCACACCTGCATTTGTAGTTTATCCTTGGGCTGTTGCTCTAAGAACTGTCATGATAAAAGCTTACCCATCAAAACGCTACACCAATTTAATAATCACTCAGTCAGATGGCATTTACCTTTAACATTTGTCTCTCTTTACAGTCTTCAACAGTCAAACACCTTCCTACAGAGTCAAACAGATTTGTATTCCCTCTTAAATATACAAGACCATCTTAATGGACAAAGATTTCTTTATTGCCTTTATAGAAGGAACCTTCTTTTTCAGAAGGGAGGAGAAAAAAATGTGGACACAAACCCATCCAATGGATACAGTCTCATCCAATAGACATTTATAGAATACTTAACCAAACAGAGATTCTGAAGGTCAGCAAGTCCTTGGGCAATGTATTAGTATGCATGTGCTTAGGCTGCTTGAATTACTAAATTGCTGCCTTTTTTTTTGGTTTGCTATCATTGCTTGCAAGATTTTTCCTTCCAAGAATTTTGAGTTTCATGCTGTTTAGGAATGCAAAAGAAAAACTATGATCTTCACAGTAAAATGTGTTATTTTACTGGGAAGATCATGGTTTCAACAAGAAGGGGTGCCTTGAATTTCATTTATAAATAAAATAAAGGTGTTTGGATTAAGTCCACACTTAGCCTTAGTCCACATTTTAGACAAATTACTGGAGCAAATATTCATATACCCCATTTAAAAGTTTAACTAGAAAATTGTATGATTTGTGCTAGGTTCATTTTTTAGGGTGTTAATAGACAAAATAGACGGAGACGATAGATACAACATTTTGAACCAGGCTTTCCACACAGTTAAATTGATGCAATGACAAGATTTAGAATTGCTGTTCCGGGGGGGGGGGGGGGGGGGGGGGGGGGGGGTTTGTTGGGTGATACATAACTAAGGAAGGTACAGTAGGTCATTTAAGGAATGCTTACTTTTGGAATAATGTATATTGAAATAAGTCCTGTACGGCAAAATTTTGTTGATTGTTGGGATGTATCAAAATAAATAAGTATCTAGGGAAAAAAATCAGGAGTCAGATAACACCCGACTTCTGAGAACTGAGTATTCTCTCCCTTGTAGCATCCTGGCAAGATGGATTTCCATCGGTGGCCACCGGAAGTTGCCATGTGTCATGGGATGGTCTCCATGGAATTCCGTTTCACCAGCATGCAAAAATAGAAAGAAAATGGTGGATAAATCCGTGTGACAAGGTCATAGGAGTGTTTTACATTTTCCTTTGTATTTTCACTAAAATGAGTATGGGTGTAGAAAAATGGATGCCCAGCAACCTCCTTTCTTCTTGGCCACAAGTTGCCAGTTGGAAAAATGTATTCTTCATTAGCAGAGTTCCAGTGGAAATTAAGAAATGCTTTCATAATTGCTTCATTACTAGAAAAAGTTGCTCAGGTCTCAAGACAATATTGGAAACAGAGCTAGGATTGTTAGGTTTGAAACTTAATTTAATAATGTCAAATGCTAGAAATTGAGGAATCAGTCCATTACCATCAGAACCTATAACAAGGTTATCATTTCATTTCGTCATGGAATGTGCAAGGAAATGGAGGTTGCTGCCACTGGCCCAGTAGGCACATTTTTATATTGGTACCTTCAAAATTGTTTTCCTTTTTTGCCATATTATCTTTTCCCAACCTGGAATTTCTTCCAATATACTACAAAGCCCATAATACAATTGTTACAGAGTGACAATGGGACTACAGTACATCTGAAAACACAGACACAGCTATCATAAAGATTGGTTCATATTTTAACAACAAAAAAATTTGTAAGGTTGCTCTGATTTTTCTGGGCTGTATGGCCTTGTTCCAGAAGCATTATCTCCTGACATTTCGCCCACAGCGATGGCAGGCATCCATAGAATGAACAAAATCTGGGTACCAGTATTTAAAAAAACCTCTAAAATCAGGACAGTAAATAAAAAGGAACACTCAAACAACATGGGATTTCCTAACATGAAACAATCAGGGCCACATAACACCTCTCAACAAAGGATTCCCCCAGGCAGGAATCAGCCAGTCTTTGAAGCTGCAAAGCCATTAAATGCTAATCAAGAAGGCCAATTGCAACATTCACACTTGCCTCCAACAAACAAGAGTTCTTTCTCCCACCCTGGACATTCCACGGATATATAAACCTCACTTGCCTAGTTTCTAATAGACCTCAGCAACCTCAGAGGATGCCTGATAGATGTGAGGAAAACATCAGGAAAGAATGTTTCTGGAACATGGCCATACAGCCCTGAAAACTCACAGCAACCCAGGTTTCCGACCATGGAAACCTTCAACAACAAAAAGATTAAAGTTTATCATTAAGCTTTTTCCCAGCATGTGTCCTGTTTGTTTGTACTTACATTTACTGGTTTACTACAGGTGTTAAAGCAGGAGAGGAAATTATACATTCTTCTAAATGTTAACAAATTCCAGAATTACTTTCCATTGGCCATTGTGAGACAGGATTAACTTTTCAGTTGACATGAGGTGGGGGAACAATATGGAGGAGAAAAAGACAAGAATTATTCTTCAATTTCTATCCTGGATCTTCAGCAGCTTTCCAACACATCTCCTGCTGAGTTCTACTGCCCAGGAACAGGGATGCATGATCCATTTCCTCTTGTCCTAATCCTTTTTTGCCTTTAGGCCTTTTTATCTTACTGCATTGGCCAGAAGAAGAGCACTGCTTTTGAGCAACAGTTTCTAACTAATGTTCCAATTTCAGAAACCAAGCAACTCACTAAGATATGAGATTAATTTTGTTATTACATCGTACCACCAGAAAAATCTAGTGAGTTAATCATTTACTCAGTTCATTCGCTAGTCATTTTTCAAGCACCAGAAGGATATCAACAGAAAATTCGAACTGCTCGCCTTTCCCTCTGTCCCTGGAAACTCCACAGTCCATCCTGTCATGTTTTATAGTTCAATGCATGTAGGTTCTCCAATTCTGGAAGTTGTACTGAATCCCAAAATATATGTGAGTAGTATGGAGGAGAAAAATACATTATTCTTCAATATATTGTTGAAGGCTTTCATGGCCGGAATCACTGGGTTGTTGTAGGTTTTTCGGGCTAAATGGCCATGGTCAAGACATTATTCTTCCTTTTCTATCCTGGATGTTCAGCAGCATTCCAACACATCTCCTGCTGTTTTATTTTATTTTGTCAGACAAGGCTGGGATGAGGTTGAGCAATCAGGCAAGCTACAACTTTCTCACATGTGATGGTCCCGATGTAGCCAGAAATGGTGAAATAAACAGGGCCAACTGTACCATGAGACAGAGCAGAGCAGCTGCATTGGGTAGCAGACTGTAGCAGTCTGTCATGAAAAGATTGTAAATAGTTATTTCAATGGTTGTTATTGGTTTGTTTCTTTACTGCTAGGAATGGGGAGTGGTGTTTTGTTTCTATCTTATGATCCAAAATAACTTGGTTGGCTTACTATTTTGCATTTTTTCTTTGGCAGAAAAATAGAAAAATGAGAGAGTCCAAGATAAGAGGCCACCACGACACCAACACCCTCCTCCAGGCTGCTGCGGGCCCAGGAGAGCCTTGCCATCGCCCTTCTTCAGATTTGTTGTTGTTGTTTGTTTGTTTTGGTAATGGATGTTTGCCACTTTGTTACTTTTGCCTGTAAACTGCCCTGAGTCCATTTGGGAAGATAGGGTCGGTTATAAATATATTATTATTATTATTATTATTATTATTATTATTATTATTATTATTATTTTAGACTGGTCCTGTAAGCAAAAACCAACTCTTGCATACCTGTAATCTCTACCTGAATTCAGGTAAGTATAGAGAATGTTCTCATTTTATAAAAAACAAGAATATTAAGAAGATCCAATTTAATTGTTTAAAACTCTTTATCCTCTCCTTTAATCAATAATACATACCAGACATGACACAAATAGGAGAGTCTTTTTATGGCATGAGGGAAAAAATGTCACAGTAGTACAACCTGGCTGGTTTGATGAAAATCCCCTGTCTCCTAGTAATAAGTCTCATACCTTCAATGTACTTGTGAAATGCTTGCTGTGCATGACATATAACATAACTTAATGGAGATAATTAAATCTGTCTCATCTAAAATAACTGTCTCAAATAGCACAATTAAAAAAGGTGAAATAATATCTGTAGGCATAGTTGTCCTCCCAAGTGGGACACATAAAATGTGAAGATGAATTACTATGTTGTGACAGTGATATTTTTATTCTAGGAGATTTATGGGCTGTTGCTTTTAGGTTGCTGATAGGATTTCCATTCCCATTCAACATGCTTCCCCCTTCAGTTTCCTTACTTGGTCATTATCAAATACCTCCATCTTGTTTAAATAACAGAGTACTTAACCTCTGTTTGATGTTGAGAATGTAGGGCTGCTGAAATTACAACAAAGAGGATATGAGCACGCATGTGTGTGCACGTGGAGAACTTTAACTTTCCTTGAAAATATTGCTCAGCCAGCTCATTTATTTGCATTCTGCTGAAACAGTTGTCTGTGTGTGTGAGGGGCGAGGGGAGAATTTTTTCATTTCTTTGAATTTACAATGAATGTATTGCCTTCCTATGGTTAATCTGGACATCGCTAAAATAAGTAGCTTTACTTAAAGTTTAATTGAGCCCAATGAGATTTTTTCAAACACATTATGTATGGGTTTATATGGTGAAATATATTGCAAATGCTTTTTATTTGACAATAGCCAATTCCAATTTCATGAAAGATATTTTTGTTAACTACAATAAGTTGTATATTAAGATTTTTATACTTATGAGCAAGGTTATTGGTGGTTCTTACATATTGCTAAATAGAGCCCTTGTATACTTAAAAAGAACATGTATCTTTCTAAATCCTGACCATCGTATTAAAAACACTTTTACACAATGCAAGAAAACTTTCAAAAGTATCTGATTGGGCAACATTAGAAACAGAATTCCAGAGTGATCCATCAAGACAGAGCTTATGTTTCTACACCCTGTTCTAAAATTAAACTAATACAAATGTTGTTAATTCTGGACACCATAGAATACTAGGCAAAAACACAAGACTATACTCACTTTTGCCTATCAAGAAACCATATCAAAATGAAAGACTACCTCTCTACTAAGTTCAGAAGCTCCAATTAGTTCAAAACATGGCATCCTGATTTAAAAACCATCGAAAGACACATCTCTTCCGGCAGGCCTATTCAGACAGTTTTTAACTATGAGTCTTAAACTCATGTCCTTGATGTCTGTTTTGCATAGTTTAATAAGTATTTTATAGAAATGCAATTGTAATATTTTATAGAAATATGTATACTGGTTGAATTTTTGTGATGTTCGTGTTTTTTAATTGTGTTGTAACCTGCCTTGAGTCACAGAGAGAGGCGAGTAAGTATTATTATTATTATTATTATTATTATTATTATTATCTGTCATGAGTGATAGCCTATGATGATGATGTTGACTAGTTTGTGTCTGGGTTATCTATGGGATATCCTTGTACCATAAAATCTACCCATATGCCCAGGTCTTCTGGGGAACTTGTGCTTCAGTTAACTAGGACCAAATTGACAACTGTTAACCAGAAGATTTTTCATAGTCAAACCCAAATTGTTGAAGGACCCGCTAGAAGAGATTCAACAGCTGGATATGCTTTTAAAACATCATTAAAGACCAATCTCTTCCAGCAGGCCTATCCAGATGGTTTTTAAATCACAATTTTTAAATAATTGATTGTTGTTAACATGTATGTTTTTAAACTGGTGTTATGCTCTTTCAATTATGTATTTTTAACTGATGTTCATGTTTTTAATTCTGTTGTATGTCCATTTGCTGTTGTATTATAATCCGTCCTTCTCCACATCAATCCATAGCGAGAGGGAGAGAGAGAGGAGAGAGAGGTAAGAAATAACAACTTCATTACTGCAGCTCGCTTCAAATGGGTTTTTGATCCTGTGTCATGCTTGAGTATATTGCGGCAGTGAAATGCAATGTCATAAACTGACTAATCTCTCTCTCTCTTTCTTTCTTTCTTTCTTTCTTTCTTTCTTTCTTTCTTTCTTTCTTTCACTCTCTTTTTCTTTCACACACTCACTCAGAAACACACTCTTTATAACATGTATGCAGAGAGGGAGGAAATTATGATTTTGGAAGTCTTAGAAACATGTTTTAACTCTTTTCTGTATGCTATGTTGTAAAGGTTTCTACAGCAGAGTAAAACAAACTTGTGGCAAGCATTCAACCCCCAGCCCAATTTGATGTCTGTGACTAACCCGTTCACAGCTGTTCAGCCAGCCATAAATAAAGGAAAGCTACAGTTTTATATTCATAGCAACTATGGCTAATCCCATTTAAGAGCTCTGCAGTGGCACCTGGCCAGATAAATGCTTTCTTGATTTTTTTATAACCAGGAACAATTTGCTTTCCTGCTGACCAGAACAGCAATTTTATTTACCCTTATTTCAAAGGCTTTCCACTCCTCTTCTTGTGCCAGCTTCTGATCACTCAGCTAAATATGCACAGGTTGTAACTGCATTCTTTGTATTATCTACCTTAAGTCACACATGAAAGAAAGTTCAAAAACAGAGCACATAGGCATAAACCCAGAATATATAACTCCCATATGTTTATACAAGGGATAAGTGGGATGCAAGCCACTTAGATATGCTTACATAATTGAGTTTGGAGTGGTGGTACAAATAATCGAATTTGTTGCATTAATCCTTAATTCATTTACATTAATGTCAGTAGGAATTATTAAATAATGTGTTCCAGTGCCTATATTAATATTGCTTTCGATAAGTGTAGTTAACCACTCCATACACAACCTTAACACCAACCTAGGAATGCATGCTTTGGCATAAACTTGGCTTCCATCTGGTTGGTTGGTCTCAACTAGAGTGAACCCATCTAATCAGATGTTGATTGTAAATCAATACATAGACAATCCCATTAATTCAACAGGTCTACTGTAGTCAGGACTAACAATATAATTTGAACACAATCTCCATAGTGATGGGGGGGTTTTTTTGCACAAAAAGAGAGTAGGTAGTGAAACTTCAGTGTGCCTCAGAAAATCTGCCAAGTCGCTGAAATCCACAGGACAAACCTGGGAAAAGAGAAACTACATAATCCTGGTTGGTGCCAGTCAATCACAGCTCAGGGAAGAACTGTGAAGGAAGAGGGACTTTAGTGAAGAAAAGATACAAAACTGAGATTTATCTGTGACAGAAGGCAGATAGGGTAAAGATGTTGCTGAGATAGGGAAAATATGTAATAGAGACAGGATAATCACCCAGGATGGTGAGGAGGTGGGGAGATATCTACACATGGTTTAGAGGAGATGTGAATTATTAAATAGTTCAGGGGTTAATGTATAATCTAATTATGTATTAACGTATTAATAAACTTCAACTTTTTTTTACAACTGTGACTGACTGTTCCTGCTAAGTTTCAATAGTGAGTCTGGTTATGCTTACCACAGTGAGCCAAGAGAATAATGCATCCACTAGGGGATCACCTTGAGACCTATCTACTAGATCCAAGGAGGGATCTTGAGGGGTAAGGGGGTATCTGTCACAAGAACCTTCCCTCCATCGCGTTCAAAGGCATGGTTGACAGATATAAGAAAAAGTGGCTTGATGGCTCTCAAACTCCTTCCTGGGGAGACTAGAATAGCTCTCTCTATGCTTTCCTTCTATCAGTAGAATGTTGTTGTTGTTATTGTTGTTGTTATTATTATGAAAGAACTTCTAAGAGAAGCTGACCTGATGGTACTCTTTGAAGCTTTCATGTAAGTTATCATGTAAATAGTATGTTTTATATAATGTTTATATCTTGTGGATAGTTTGATTCCATTTTTTTTATGTTTTACTGTATTGTGTTTTAATTTTTCAGGTGTCCTGAGGAACACTTATGGGAAGGAAGGGATATAGATATGATTGTTAGCAATAGACAGAATTCTGTAGCTGCTACTTAGGACTTTATCATACCAGACTGTTGTCTCACAGTAATCATCAAATGGAAACTTATTAACAGGAAATTGATTCAAAAACAATCAGAATCACGTCTGTCTGCAATCATAATATTTGTGTCTCCTCTACCAAGCCTCTCTTTTCCTGACTTCCTGACTTCTTATTAAACCTCACTCAATCCCACTTTTCTGTAGGCTTTGCAAAAGGAGGTCTTCCCACCCCCCAAAAATATTTTAAAGTGTTTTTTAAACTCTACAAGTGAATAGGAAAGGAGAATAGCGCAGAATGATTGGCCCAAAGGGAGAAGGTGTTGGATTTCTCAGGGGAAGGAGAGTTTTACCCTCGATAGCTAGTGAATCATGGAAGGTGGGGAAGCAAACCAGTAGTGGGGTGCACATGGTATCTTTTGATATGGAGTTGCTTACTTGCCTGCCTCATAAGATAAGTCCTACAACTAAAGTAACCTCTCCTGGCTTGACCGTCTCACCCCAGACTTTACATGTCATTCCCCTGCACTCCAATTGATGACAGAATGGCCCTTCCCTGAAAGCAACTGATGCTCGTACAAGTAGGTTTGAGGGGATAGTTACAGTTTTGGCAATAGTGCCATATCATGATTGAGTAGCAGTCATTAATGAAGAACCTTTACTTAGATCTCATCAACTGCCACTGTTTCATGGTCATGATTCTTACTTGGTCACAAGTGTTTCTTCCTTCCCAACCTACTAAATGAGGCATTAGTAGCATGGAGAAAAGGAAGTCAATTCTGCCAGCAATTAAAATGATATTTCCATCAGATTTGTTGGTGTGAGGAGGGTAAGGATGGGAGAGGGCTCTAAGTACACTTAACTAACTAACTAACTAATTAACTAACTGTTAGAGTCTTCTTCTCTGGAGGCTTTCATGCAAAGGCTAAATGGCCATCTGCCAAAAGAGCTTTGCTTGTGTGTTCCTGCATGGAAAAATGGATTGGACTGGATGGCCCTTGTGATCTCTTCCAACTCTAGGAATCTATAACTAACTATACTTAATTATAGATTCCCTCTGCTCCTGTTTTTCTTGTAGGTCTAGTGTTTCACTCACCACTTTCTTCTATCATACTGCCCCACTGATCCTTCTCCTCCTTTATACATGCACATGCTCTTTGGCTGATTCTGTCATCTTCCTCCTAAATCTGCTGTTTCTTGACCTGGCCTCTCTTTCATGTCTGAGGCTGTCCAACTAATACAGGGAGTTTGAAACAGCAATGCAGAGAGAGATTCATAGTGAATTATAAGACAATCCTTGAAATAAAATAAATACAATGGGGGAAATAATCTTTCATCCTTTTTTCATCTCTACCAGTGAATAAGCAAAAATAAAATGAATGGCAAGCTCATTCGCATTATATCATTTTATTGAAAAGAACAAGTTGTATTTAAGTTATAGAATGAAGCTAACTTTGTTACATGAATAAAAGCAAAGCATTCAATGGATTGGCCATGATGCATTAAATCTACTGTGATATTTCCAGTCTCTGCTAAATAAAGTCCACAAACATGAGTAATAGGATAGGGCCATGACACTGTGTCTGTTTTCAACAACTCTAATCTCATTGCATGTATTTTCAGTCAAGGGTGTATTTCCAACAAGTTGCAAGGAAAATATTGCAGAAGTGGACTTTGTTTTGTTTTTTGGAAAAAATTACAACATTCCTTTTTAAT